TTTCCTAACAGCAATCTTCAAACACTTCAGAAAGAAAATGGAGCCCCATATCATCAACTCCACCTGACAAGTACCATCCTGAAACCGGTTTGGGACTACATGGCTCTACACAACTCTGGATAAATGAACTGATATATGATGCACCTTTTACAATCTGGCCATAGCCTCAGACAAGAGCTACAATCACTATTAGAACTTCAGTTAAGAACTTCAATCAAGTGTCTCCTGCCAACAGAGACTGAATGCAAATGAGACATTTGTTACACTACCATTTTCTTCCTACAAGATCCCATGAGGTTATCATTGTCCCATTTCAGCAGGAAGTAATTCTGAGAATACTACACCCCCTTTCCCTACTGTTGACATTTCAGGATAGTTTACACATGATAGGGTTAGTTTTCAATTATTTAGGGTTGGGATTGGAAGGAGGTGTTCAGACTTGGGCATCTCTTTCAGGTAAGTTTAGGGTTTAGATGGGGCATATATACTTAGGATAAGATATAAGTAGATTATAATTTGTTTATACATATATGCTGTATATAAGTTTCAATTTTTATCAAGTCTAAATCTTTTCTTTAGACTGAAAGGGAAACTGTAGGGAGAGATCACCTACCTGCAGCACTGACCATGGGTATGTGGGAGGATTCAGGGATAAGAGATGGTAGAGGAGTGAGCACTTGCTCTCGTGGCCCTGCTGAAGTTGAGGTTTGGAGACCATAGAGCCCTGACCCAGTTCTCAGCTTTCATGTAAGTTACTTCTATCTATCTTAATAAATATCTATCCTTTTCCAAGAATCCTTAGTGTGACTCATTTCCCATCACAAACCACTTCATTGTCAGACTTTCTTTATTCTTTATGCATTTTGGGAATGCAGAGGAGGCAAACACTTGTCAGTGAAACTTCCAAGCAGCCCCCAATTACATCCAGCATCCAGGAAGTACATGGTTTACTGTAGGCATCTGTGTTCTCTCTGGCTCTCTCTGTCATTTTTCTGTACATGATCAAATTTTTATTCCCTTTTCTCTGTCTTTCATTTTTGGAGCATGCAGGGTAATGATGCACACTTCAGAGGTGCTGGAAGGCTTCTAAATAATTCCCATTATACCCTGTTCATAGTAAAATCTTTTCAAGTTCCATACACTTTAATGTTAGTGTTTCCTACAGAGGAATCTTGTTGTGTTGTTCGCACCCCTGGTCTCAATCACAGGATATGGGTTCTTCCTAATAAAACATGGAGCCAATGTCTTAGTAGCTGATTCATTTGAGTGGTACAGTGAAGGTTAGCATTGTTGTAGGTAGTCCTCATTTGCCTATCTACCTATCTAAAATGGTGGCCCACTTTAAAACTTGTGGGAGCCCACAGTGACTCAGTTTCCATTTGGAGGCTATTCTGAATTATATAACATTAAAGTTCAAGACTGCTTGTTTCAGTCTCCTTGAGAGCCATGAGAAAGTTCTGATTAAGCCCATGGGAAAGAGCATATTATCTAAATAACAAGCTTCTGATGCCAGCCTAAAGGAACATACAGATAAGGAATGGAGCTGCTTGTTGCTAGCAGAACTCACATGATAGATATAGAGCCTGGCTGCTACTCAATTCAAGGACAGTGCAGGGAGATGGTTAATTGACTATGCTGCTCTTTGTTCTGTTTTGCCTCCAGTCTGTATATAAGCATGCTCTAAATTAAACTCAGGGCTGTCCAGTGTGCTGAAAGGTATGGATTGGGCTGTCCTAACAACCTATCCTGTATTTTTGTCTCTGCTTCTTTTATCTGCCTTTTCTCAATCCTCATGCCCCTACTCAGGTAACCCAGCTGACTCATTGGATCAGGCTCTGACAAAACCTGAAGGTACTGACTGAGTCTCCCTACTCTTTCTGGAGCTGGGATAGCCTGAGTCCTCAGCAATTCTTCCTGAAACCCATCAACGTTAGCTTCCTGCACCATAAACTGGAGTCTGAGGGAACCTTAAGCTGATCCAGCTAAGCATTTTGTGTTTCTGGCTTCTTTTCCTTCTTTCTCCTGGTTAAGAGAGAAGACAGGGGAGTTGCTTACCAGAAGTTATTGTATGCCTGTGATATTTATAGCCACCAGTTTGAGTCACAAAGGAATGACTGCTGGGAACACCTAGCAAATATCTGCTAAATGAAGTGAGGAGGATCCTGAGACCTTGGCAGTGGACACTTCTCCCTGTATTTTGGAGAAGGAGATCCTAGCTGCAGATCTCTGGCCTGGAACCTGGAGCTTTCAGTACCAGCCGAGCTATGCTCAGGCCTTGATGTCCTACACTGGACTGCTCGCATGATGTTTTCTTGCCTAGTCTCCCATTTGTAAAAGTATTAACTCCCATCGACTGGTAAATTTCACAAATGCTTGTTGAATTTTCTATGATAGGATCCTTCAGATAAAGGAGCCCTTATACACCCGAGGATTCCTTCCCCAGCTCCTGCACACAGGGGCTCCACTTAGACGCTGCTGTGACTGAAATGTGAAATGCTCCACCAGGCTGGTGGTACTGGTTGGGAAGACTAGAATTTTCAGAAGATAGATCCTTGGTGAAGGGAGTAGATCACTTATAGTGCACTCTGAGGTTTTATAGCCTGTCCCCTGTTCCTGGTCACACTCTTTGTCTTAATTAGGGTTTCTACTGCTGCAACAAAACCCCATGACCAAAATGAAAGTTGGGGAGGAAAGGATTTGTTAGGCTTACACTTCAGGATTGCTGTTCATCACTGAAGGAAGTCAGGAAAGGAACTCAAACGGGGCAGGATCCTGGAAGGCAGGAGCTGATGCAGAGTCCGTGGAGGGAGCTGCTTACTCAGAGACCAGTTACAAGTTTTACAGCTAGTTCTCTTGAGATTTAACCATTTCTTTAGTTTTTTTCTTCTACAGGATCCCATAAAGTCAACTTCATCCCTATGACAGCTGGGAGTAATTCTAAGAAAACAATTCCCCTTTCCCTACAGTTGGTTTAAATGGTGTTCTGATTTTTTTCCATAGAATATAGATACTTGTCACCTGTCTACGGTTGGTCTCAAGTTGTATAGGTTTGGGAATGGAAAATAACGTTCAAACCTAGGAATCTCTTTTAGGAAAGTATAAAGGGAATAGTCAGGATATAAGTAGATTAGTATATTTTCTTGTGAACTATTTTAGCAACTATTGGCTATAGACAGATTACATTGTTATTGTTTCTTGTATATTGAAACTTATGTACAATAATTTTGTATTTCTGTCTTGGATCATTTGTATGTATATTGTTTCAAACTTGAAATTATATTCGTCATACTGTGTAGGCCCTTCTTTCTGTTTACAATGTTTTTGTGAAAAATGTAAAACTATTTTTATCATATTATATGTATGTATGTTTCTACATATGCTTAATATATTTTATATATTGATACAATTTAGGATATTTTTATCATGTTGCATTATGCAGTTATTCTGGTCAAGATATTTCAGTTTTATCTCTGATATGGAGATTTACATATATATTATATAGTTAGAAATGTGAGGTCATTGTCCTAATGCTACAAATCTGATAAAGATTGTTTAAATTACATTTGGGAAGCTTAAGTCACTGAGCAATCATTTTTCTGAGAATTACAGATTATAATTACCCATGCTTCTTATACCTAATGATGTTAGTCAGGCTTTATATGTGCTCAGAGATGTACCCAACAGACATAATTAATTTTCAAACACTTCAAACACATACAGAATATAACATTTAAATGTTTTAACAATTTAGAACTCTGTTGACATGAGACACAACTGCTCCTGACAACACCAGCTATTCCTGAGAGTACGATATTCACCAATGACACTCCATTTGGAGTTCATTTTCTTCTCAGCTACTAGCCTTTTGGGCAAAGAACTGCCCCTACCTCAACTGCTGATTTTGAACACACTGTCATAAATGGGCTAGCACGAGATAAACTTAAAAAGATTGCTGAATTTTGCAATCATGGTAAGACAGTCTTTCAGTGTTCCTGCTTCTGAGATGGTCTGTCAGTACTCTAGGCCTTAGCCAAAGTCAATTGCCCTGATGATACTGTGAGACCACAGGTGACTGTCCAGGTAGCCCACTGTTTCTGTCATTTCTTGAACCTTTAGGAAGTCGCATGCTTGCACTTCCTGCTTACCCTGCTAATGTTATTTTCCTTCTCAGGTCTTTGATGAGGTTGAAGACTAGATAGTCACAGCTAGTACCCTCTCTTATCTTAGCTAGAACATATTAGGACTTTGCAGAATAGGACAGCAATCAGAGTAATCTCTGCTATATGTCATTACCCAGAGACTGAAGATTCATTATGTGTTCCTTGCTTAATTTTGCTCTTGCTGATTGTAGGTTCAAATTTGTTTATGTTTTTACCTTTCCTTCTCCTGGACTATACTTGATAATTGTTATCATTGTATATAGTTTTTGTAACAGGCTTCAAACCCTCTTATTTAGACAAAAAGGGAAAATATAGTAGCATCTAGCTTTGCCAGAGAACTTATAGGGGTGGCCATACCTTTTGGGTGTGGTTTCAGGTGTTCACATGTGACCCATTATAGGATAGAGGAGTTGCTGGCTTGTCTTCTTGGGTTGCAGTGAGAGCATCAGAAGGGCAGCAGATTGTAGCTTCTGGAAGAGGAAGACTATGGTGGTTATTTACTATTATTTGTGTAAATGCTTCCCTAGTAAAAATCTAATTATCAGTTATTTTCTATCTGATGGAGTCATTTAAATGAGCTAATCTAGGCACACACTGGTAGCCTTCCCAACAGAACCTTCTTCTTAAAAGTCAATACAGAACTGATCTCTTCTGGGAAATCTCAGGTTCCACAACTTGGGGCCTTAGTTTTCTCAGAAGTGCCTGTAAATTTGTGACTGCCACTCAAGTATCCTGGGTGACCTTTGGGTTGGAATATTTTGGCTAACCTTAAGTATTTTCTTTGAACTCTTTAGAACAAGTTCTGGGCACAGAACTTGTTTCTAATTTTGTGACAAGTATATAAGGGCCACTGTTACTACAGTATCCCAGGAGACTGCAGAGAAATAAGGATTTTGTGTGCATCCTTCTCCAAACCAGTGAGTAGAGTCTCTCCCAATGTGAATCACCTTACAAAGGTTTTCTTCAGGAGGCTTTAGGGCAAGAAGTACAGGGAAGGCATCTGTTTGTGTTAGGGAAGTGTTGGATCTAACAGATTTGATGATATTGTGTCAGACTAATGACAACCTAGGTTTCACATGTGTTTCATTGACTGTTCAGATTTTATTCAGCAATGACTTGTCTCAGTGTATGGATGAAGGCATCTTACTGGAGTATTGGATCAGCAGTAACACAAGCCATATCTACTACTATAAGGACAGTGATGTCCCAAGCTTGGTGGAGCCAGATTTGGTGGGCAATCTAGTGCTGGGCTCTGGGGAGGTGTCTAAAGCTGGCTTCATGGAAGGTGTAAGGTATTAATGAATCAAGAGAACAGATTTAGGTGGCAAAGCAAGAAGGAAATAGGTTTGAAGCAGAGAAGGCGGCAAGCATAAAGGTCCTGAGTATAAGGAGCACAGGCTGGAGTCAGCTTGGCTTTCCAAGTCCTGCCCTCCACTTGCTGGCTGTGTGTCTAATGTTTCTCTATCTTCCCAATCTTGCCTGCTCCTCTCTAGAACAAGTTAACTCCTTTTCCCCAGTTATGATTGTCTTTGCTTATGTTTATTATTTTTAATTTCACTATACAAAGTAGTACAGTTTGTTGTGGCATTTACCTACATACTTGTTTCCTATCCTACTCCCTCCCCTGATATTCTTCCCTGTTCCCACCCCTTGCTAATAGCTTCTTCTTTCCTTTTACATTCATGTCACATGCATTCCCTCCCTTTTTCCCCTCTTCTCTTCTATTAAGAGTTCTACTTTTCCTATCATGGCATCCTTATTTTATGACCCCACTCATATTCAACACATTCATAAACATTTACATATACATTGTGTACATATACATATACATACACACACACTATATATATATATATATGTTTTAATCTCATTTGCACATGAGAGAAAATAGGATACTTTGAATTTCTGAATCTGGTTAATTTTTCCAAGAACAAAGACTTCCACTTCCACCCAGTTCCTGAAATGTCACGATTTATGTTTTCTTTATGGCTGAATATAATCCCCTTGTGCAATTGGCCTCACTATCTTCATCCACTCCTGAGGGTGGGCATCTTTGCTGCTTCCATTTCTTAGCTATTGTGAGCAGAGCACATCTGTCTTGTAGGAAGGTCAAGTATGAGTGACAGGTGTTCACTGTGCATTGTTTCCTCCTTCCTCCTGTGACCATCCAGGTGTCAGCACGGGAAATGTTCCAACTTGGGAGCCTTGTTGTCTTGTGCATCCTGCTCACTGGGACCTCAGCATCAGCTTTTGGTAATATTGGCCATGACTGGAATAATTTGAACATTATGAATTCTGTCTCTGGAAGTAAGCCAATATAGGTCACATCAGCTAGCTAGTCCCTGGAGAAACCTTAATAAACTCTACCTGCAACAGCCAAGGCTTCTGGGAGGGGCCAGTGTTGACCTTTATGCATGACTTACTCACATTTGTTCAACCATTCAATTCCTGCCTCACTCATGTATTATTTTAGAAAGAACAAATTCCACGACATTATATCCTAATAGATTTTTGTCAATATACATGAAGTATAAATTCATCAAAGTGAGATTTCAAAATTTAAAGAAGTGTGCACATCTTAAATTATGGCAGCTGTTGTCACATATTCTCTTAGTATATCATCACGTTCTCTAACAGTCTGCGGGAGACTGTCCCCTAGTCCTGCTCCCTTCAAAGCACTTACCCAGACAACTTTACCTGGGTTAAGTGGGTTGTCATTATCAGCGATAAGAAGCTGTAACTTGTCTCACTTTGCATTTCTCTAATGCTAACAGTCCTTTCATTTTTTATATTTTACTACTGGTTTGCATAATTTAACCAACATGTTGTGTTGAAATTCTTAACATATATTACTGTACTTTGCTTTACTTTTTCTTTTTGATCTGTGTTGTCTGGCTGGAAATGAAGGTATCAACCTACCTGGATTAGATGTCCATAAAGCCCCCACTGTCTATTTATGGCACCTCTGTCACTGCCTTAGAAGAACTAGGCTAACTGTCAAACAGTTCTCAAAGTAATAGGAAAGCTCTGCACATACTGACTTTAAATCTTGTTAATGTTTAGGCATCTTTCAAAGATGAAGGAAGGAGCCATCCTCTCATTCCACTGAAGCAGAGAGAAAATAGTGTCAGGACCAAGGTTACCTAGGGAGTTGTGCGTTGGTGGAAGTTCTTGTCTTACCTGGTCCCACAGCCAATTTGCACAAAATAAGCACACGGACACTATAAAAATTATAAAACTGTTGGTGGATGGCTAGTGCTTCTTTCTGGCTACCTCTATCTTAATTATTAACCCATTTCTATTGACACGAGGCTGTGACTTACCCTGAATCCAACATGTTACTCCTTGTGCAGCATGGTGTCCCCTCACCACCTCTCTCTGCCTTCCTTTTCCAGGCCCTCTCCTGGTCCGGTTGCCCCACCTATGCTTCCTGCCTGCCTATTGGCCAAACAGTGTTTTATTCATCAATAAATGAGAGAAACATATATACAGAAGGACATACCCCATCATTTGTGTAGTGACATGTAGCTATTATCTAAGCAATACTAACTGAGGTATCCTTATCTGTGTCATTATAATAGGTAGATCCTGTTATCATAGAACCATGATGTAGTATTGTGGTTACATTTACTTTATTAATATTGATTTTTAAGATTTTATTTTTTATGTTTAGGTATCTTTGTGTATTTATCTCTGTGTATGATCCCAGAAGCCAGAAGAGAGTGTCACATCTCCCAGAGTTACAGATGGTTATGAGGCAGCCAAAATGGATACTGGAAACTGAACTCTAGACCTCTGCAAGAGCAACAAGTCCTCTTAAAGGCTGACCCATCTCACCACTGCATTGAAAACACAGATAATATATGGTCACACTTGAATGTTTTTATTTAGAAATTTCAAGAATGGCCGGGAGTTGGTGGCGCACGTCTTTAATCCCAGCACTCGGGAGGTAGAGGCAGGCAGATCTCTGTGAGTTCGAGGCCAGCCTGGTCTACAAGAGCTAGTTCCAGGACAGCCTCCAAAACAATACATAGAAACCCTGTCTCAAAAAAACAAAAGAAAGAATATTGAAGAATATGTGTATGTTCATACACAATGAATTCCATTAATGCTGCTTCCAATATGTATATATATGTATATATATACATATACATAATATTAAAGCATTAATGGAAGATTGAAATCTTTTCAACAGTACTTAAAGACACTCAATACATAACAGTAAACCAGTATACAGAAACAATTGCTAGTCTTTACAGATTTTTGGTTTCAGCAGCTAAAACCTGAAGATGAACTGAAACCTCAATTACAAATTGGACAAAATATTTATGATATCATGATTCCAATCTAAAATCTATACACCCACATAAATTAAACAGGTAACAAACTAGAGTAATTGGAAGGGAAACTGCTTAATAGCCAATATTTTAAAGCATCATTTAGATGCATTATTCATTTTACAAATAAGGGTGTTTTTGTTGTTTCTGTTGTTGTTGTTTTGTTTTCTTTTGTCCCTGAATTTATAATTTCTTTCTTTCACACTAGAAATATTTTCTACGCAAACATCCCAATTACTTCACACATGCATTCTGAGACATGACTTTTATTGTGTTCATTCCCTGCTAGTTCTCTGATTATCTTCTGTTAGAACACTCTATCCTCCTGCTCCACTGTGAATTACTGTTCTCTGGAACTGATTCCAAGCTATCATTGTGGGACCCCTATTTCCCACTTTCACTGCTTGTGACATAATGTGCGCTATATATTTTCCCCTTGGTTCTAGATTTTTCCATTGCTTAATTATCCTCTCAACTTTTTGACTAAGTTTCTCAAACTCACATGAGAATCTCATTAAGAATGAAAGACCCTTATGTCACCACTGCAAGCAGGTCTACACCCTCAACTTCATTTGCTAGGCCAATTTATTGATTGTTTTTTGATACATGCATAACATACATTAGCATGAAATAGCCTGGAAACAGTGCATATATCCAGTGGTGTAGACACATTTCCTAATCTTAGGAGTCTCAGGTTCCTCTTCTATACAATGAAAATGGTAACAATATTTCCCTCACTGAGTTATGCAGACTGAATGAACCAGCACAGAGAAACAGACTTCTCTGAAACCAGGAAGATTGGAAATCATTCTCTATCGGTGTAGGTGACTTACTCATGACAATTTTTGACAGATGACCCTCAGACCATGAAGTTGAATCCTGAGTTGCTTCAGAAACCTGCGGATTGGCCATTAGCCAAGAAGAGGATTATAGAAACTTTCGATAAATTGGAACCGAGACTTTTTAAACTCTTTTCATCTAAAAATGTTTTACGGTGAGTTGGTACTTCTTAGATTCCAGAAAGGGGACTTCCTGACTGCCCAATGTCAAAGACAGGTGGATAAGACTCATTATCCCCAACAGAGCTGAGGAGTTCTGAAGCAAGACTCATTAGTGCTTGAGTAAGTCTGACTCAGGGCTACAGGGATAGTTTGAACAGTTCATGTTTCTGGGTTCTCAGTTTGTAATTCCAGGCTCAAGGTGAATGTTGCATTTATCCTCATCTCTACCTACATCATGGTACCCAAAACCCTTCCCTAAGAACAACACTTTTATACTTCAGATACAGCTAGGAGTACAAGTACAAGTCCTTTCATGAGACAGGAACCTGGAATTTATACTCCTAGTCTTAAGCAGAGGCTTCATGGGGTTTTGAGTCACATAAACCTTGGTTCAAGTTCTGGGTATGGTGCCTACTTTTCCCTCATTCAGTCAACTGCACCTGAGAGTTTAGAGGTTCACTCTTCTGAGCAGGCTGTAGTGAGAACAAGAGAGTGATGAGGAAAGGCACAATGTTACAAGGAGGAATGACAACTGGGCACATGTGGTTTTTGGGCAGGTTGCAGAACAATGAAATCAGAATCCTGGACTTGCAAGTTGGCCTGTCTGCCTATGGCAGAGGCATAGACCTGACTATGCCCTTTATTACGAATACCTCTCTGTTTATGTGAGTATGAGTCCCTTGTATTTACAGGGTGGGGTGTTCTGTAGCCTATTTGAGTGGGCATTTAATTCCCAGCTACTGTGTGGACTATGAACCTAGTTTTCTAATCCATAAAAGAGAGGAAACTCTGAAGCCCAAAATGCCAATATTTAAAATATTCTAGTAAAAACTGGTCATATTAAGGCTCTTTCAAAAGAATGTCTTATGCAATGAACTATTTGTGTGTGTGTGTGTGTGTGACACTCACATGTGTCTGTGGAGGTCAGAGGTCAGTATCAATATTTGCCTCAATCACTTGCCACATAATTTTTTGATCTAGACACTATCAAAGAACCTGGAAATCATAGAGAGGAAGTACATGTAATCAATCAGAAAAATATAATTTTGAAGTTTTTTATTTTAAAGGATAGATAAAGGAAAATAAATCCAAGAGCCTGTACAAAAGATATTCTAGATGATGGGGGTTTCACCAAGAGAGAACACAGCATGTGTGAGACCCAGGATTCTATCACCAGGTCAGGGGAGATATAAATTAAATGCATTCATGAAGTCATGAGGAAGTTATTCAAACTCTCCATTCCCAGGGTTTCTTGATTTAAAAAAAAGTGTGATTTGCCAATAAAATGGATTAAACCAGGTATAAAACTTTACATGGAATCCTCAAGGTAATTGGTTTCATAAAATATTAGCAATTATTATATTATTAGTCTCAGGCAAGATAAAAAATTCTCAGCTGTGCTAAACACGAATAGTCCAGAGAAATCCTATACAAATGTGTAAACTTTGTAGAGAACATGTACTTTTACATGTTGACATTGCCCATAGACACCATGCATAGATTCACAGAGATGGATGAAAACCAAGGCAGCATACAAAGCTTTATAGACCTCTGTCTGGTGTGAGTCTTGTTTCCTTAGGCCTAGGATTGACCTCAGAGGTGACTATCTTATTTTCTTCGACCTCACAACTTCACTCAAGATTGAAACTATTCCCGAGACTGGCCTTCCAATCGTAACCATAGGGAAATGCTGGAGTGATCCAGAAAATATCACCTCTTTCTTGTTGGACAGGTAAGCCCCATCCATCATAGTAGATCTGGGCACTCAAGATACTTTAGGACCCCTGACTTTAATCCTATTCCCACACCTGGGAAGAAGCATGGTGGAATACACAGTCGGGCTAGCCTCATGGATTAACTCTGTCACAACTATCAGCTCTGTTACTCTACAGCTTCATCTTTTGAGGCTTCAGTTTGCACATCTATGGGTTTGAATAGTAGAAATCTATATTCATAACCTTGTGGGATGAGGACATGAAAAATATACATGTTTAAATGAGAGCCTGGAACATGTTAAGTGCTCTAGAGCCATGAGATCCACACTGACTATGTGGATTGCCCATTTCCATTGCTGAGGCAAGACGATAGAACTCTCCAGACATAATCATGCATTTGCCTATGGTACGTTACAGCTGTGTCAATGTACATCATGCCTTGAAGGATGTTAACTTTCCATTCAGTTAAGGTGGGAGGAAAATTAGATGCTAGCATGGTCCATCACTATCCTGAACTTATCTCTACATTCTTAAAAATTATGGCAATAAGATCTTAATATCATAATCCTGCATTTCCATCACTGATTCCTTTTTATCCTCAAAATCTGCATCTTTAATTTTATACTTGAGACAGTGGGATTGGTTCATGCACAAGATGGAGAGGAAGTTATAGTACCCACACTCTGGGAAAGGAAACATGGTCAACGGGGCACATGCTGGGGCTAGAAATTCATGATCAAGAATAGAGGGATGGTCTATGTTCCCAACATTGACAACTATGACCACAATGCTATTCTCCACACATAAACCAAAGATCTGATCTCAAATCAAAAGCAATACCAGTATTCATGCAAATTCAAAGGCCTAGGTGCTGCTGGGAACTGTCACGCAGACCCAGGAAATTCATGTTGTTCAGCTGGGCCTGAATACCCACAGAAATGTAGTCTTTTGTGATATAGCTCTGCCTGCACCCTCCTTTAGACACAATGGCTTTTGTTCAGAATCTCAGATAAGCTCTTGTTATCTCAAGACCTTGGCATATAATTTGTGGTTATGTAAACACATTTGTCCTCACTCCAAATCAATGTGTCTTTTCATCTTTCAGGGTCTTTGCTAGATTCCTTCTCTTTCCTGATAAGAATATGCTCCTGTCCTTCAGAGTACTTGTTCCTGCTGTTATACTGTACACACATGTTTTGAGACAGGATTTCACTGTTCAGAACTGGTTTGCTTCAATCTAAGAGAACTACCTGCTTTTGTCTCCTAATGCCTCAGATCAAAGACTGGTGACAGCACACCAGATGTCACATTCTATATTTAACTTGATTTTTTCTTAACTTATTTTGCATTGGAGAATGTGTGTGTGTGTGTGTGTGTGTGTGTGAGAGAGAGAGAGAGAGACAGAGACAGAGACAGAGACAGACAGACAGACAGAGAGGCAGGCAGAGACAGAGAGACAGAGAGAAAGACAGAGAGAGAGAGCACACACATGTGTCATTGCTGGAGCTCACCAAGTAGACTAAGTGGCTTAGGACTCTCCCCATCCCTGTATCCTCCACTCTGTATTACAATTGTTTGCTCTCACCTGGATTCTTTTTTGCTTTTTAAATATGGGACTAGAGCTGGAAGTCAGGTTCTCATGCTTACAAGGACAATATTGTGTGGACTGAACTGTCTCCTTGGCTGCATTTTCTCATTATTCTACTAAAAATCTGTATTTTCTAGGCAGGCATTGTTTTGAGCCCTGAGAGCCATTTGGTGAATAAGAAGTAAGATATCTCCTTAAACATATCCTGAGGAAAGACAGGTAGAGGACTATTTGATCCATCAGTGAATTCAAGGAAAATGAGGAACCCTACACAAACCATCATAATCAGCAGAGCACAAGGAGAGCAAACCCTTCCTCCAGTTAGCACTCATATGGACTTCCCCGGGAGATGTTAGCTGGATAAGTGTTGAAGGGGAAGAGGTAACCTCAGTGAGACATGTTTATGAAGGAGATTTAAGGTTTTTCCCAGTGTCCCAAGGCTTAGCCTGGAGCTGTGTAATCAGAGGCAGAGTGAATGATGCTGTGTCAGGGCTGTGATGAGCACCCAGGCACTGAGGAAACAGCTACTTAAGCATCAGATGCTCAGTGACTGTTTTTCTGGACATGGTGCACAGGGCAGCAAAAATAAAACCGTAGAGCCTAGTTGTGGGTCAACAAGCACAGGTTACTATCATCCATACTAAAGTCTTGGCCAAGCTTTGTAAGTCCTTTCTATTCCAGAACAAGCATCTCTGCAAAAATTCTTCTGGACGCTACATCCACTATCCTTAAATTGGTATTGGAGGAATTCATGACAAATGAAGTAAGTCCCCCACTGTTGGAACCCAAAGCGGGACTGGTGGGACTGGAGAAGTTTTGTAGGTTTTATGTCTGTGTGCTCAGGACATTGTTTCCTCTGAGAAACAGATTTCTGTTTGAGAGATCTGATGGCACCTCCCTCATTAGCTGGCTGCAGAGAGAGAACAAGCAGAAATCATAGATGGTGATTGAGCTATTTACCACATCCATGCTCTACCTGTGCCCTTGAAGCTAATGTTTTCTTTAATCGCACTTTCACTTAAATGCCTGTAGTTAATTAAGTGCTTGTGAATAAGAACCTGAAGGAACCTGGGAATTTGGGCTCCCCAAAGGCTTAAGCCTTCTGAGGAGCATTAAGTTGCATGTTCAAGAGTTCAAGATTTTAGGTATCTAGGGTATTAAGGTTTTGGATGCTAGATCTTTAGATCCTGAACTTCTGACATCCTGAGGTGATGGCTTCTCAGCAGCCTGGGACAGCTGTGGTACAGGCTGCTGCAATTCCAGAGTGTCAGATTGCTAAGGATAACTGTTCTCAGGTCCTTGAAATGAACCCATCTGTTGGGGGAGGGTGGGCAATGTGTTGCCAGCAAAGTCTCATCTGTTTGCCTTCTCCCCACTTCCTCCCTCTCATACCTTCTCCCTGATTCTCAGATATGTCCACTCTTCAAATCCTTCCTCAGCAACCTGAACGTCACTCTTATTCAGGATCTTTTCTGTAAGTCACAACCCGTGCATTGGAGTGGCTTCCATGGGGGCAGGACAACAGCTGTATGAGTGCCAAAGACAAGGGAAAACCTTGCATCCTGACCAATGCAGGCCTTTGGTTTCTTCTCCACTCCCCCACACTGGAGGCCTCATTTCAGACTTTTGCTCCCCATGTTTGACAGAGAAGCAGGCCTCAGAAATAAATCACTGATAGGATTAGGCCTTGGGGTGTTGCTTCTTTGGATGTCTATTGACACAGTTTTCTGTGTCTTGCATGCACTATCTCATTGGGTTCTCACAAGAGTTTGTGCAGTGGGGCACTGCCATTGCCTACCTATGGGTGAATAGTGACACACTTGAGGTCACATAGGAGTCAGAGTGACAAGCTAAAAGTAAGGTAATGAGTTGGATGGGCATCTCTCCAATTCCCATGACAAAGACTGAGACTGATCTGTATTTGCTTCCTTTAGCTAATATAAAGAGAAGACAGTCACCAAGTTCCATCTGAAGAAGAAGCAGCAGAAGGAGGAATGCCATGACTCCTGCTGGTATGGGTAGTGTGATGGTTACTTTTCTATTGTTGTGACAAAACAACTTGATCAAAGGAAATTTTAAATGAAAGTATTTCGTTTGAGAATTAGGATTCTCCAGGGTCGTGACCCATGGCCATCATGGTAAGGAGCATGACAGAAGGTAGGCAGGGCTTGTACTGGAATATCAACTGAGAGCTTATGTATTTAGACACAATCACCAGGCCAAATGAGCTAACAAGGAATTGCATGCCCCTTGGAAATCATGAAGCTCATCGATAATGACACACCTCCTCCAAGGAGTTCCCACCTCCAAATCCTTCCCGAACAGTTCCTGACACAAGTATTCAAACAAATGAGCCTATTGAGTTTGTGCTCAAGAAACCACACAGGTCAACTCTGTACCCTGACACTCACCTGTCAGGAATCCAGGTCCAGGCTGGGTTTGCTTCTGTCACAAGAGTAGAGAAACTGAGCCCTGCTCTTGGCTCTAGTATGTTGAGTACATCTTAAACACTGAGCTTGGAACATGATCCAGACCCAGCTAGGGTCTTTGTTTCTAAGTGAATTTCCTGGAAGTTTTTGACTGAGTCCTAGCTTGGAATACAGACACTTATCCATGGCTTTCATGCAGACCCTGGCTTCATGGGCCTGGCCTCTACTCAATATTTTCAGAGCTTCCCTTGTTGGAAGGAAGGGATGTGAAAGGGTCAGGGTCAGCTTGGAGAACAAGACCAAAAATCTGCAGCTGCTCTGTCCTCTCCATCACCTAATCCATGTTGGTCCTTCAGGAATGAGTAGAAACAGGGAGGGCCAGGCTAATGTGGATCTATTCAATGTCCAATGATACCTGCTCCCACTGTTGCTCTGAGAGTAAATGTCCTTACACCCTGTGTTCTCATTCCAGACTATTCCCCAGTGGCTTCATCTGACTCCCCGTGACATTTCTATATATAAAATGCTGCCACCATCTGCACAAGGTCTGCCTGAACCCTCTTGAATGACCTTCTCTGACTCCTTTCTTCTCCCAGTGGACTCTACACCTGTTTTCACCACCCCAGCATTAAAATCCTAACTTCACCCAGCTGTGTGGCTTGTCTCAGCTTTTGTAATAGGATTTCTTGGCAGGATGTGGGATATATGTGGGGTGACATTGTAACCAAGTGGCTGAAGCACACCCAGAGCTGGAAAGGACATCGGGAATTACATCTTTCTTTGCTTTTTTATCTTATTAAATTTATTCACTTAGTTTACACACCAATGGAAGCTTCCCCTCACTCATGTCCTCCCTTTCTTTCCCCTACTTTCCTTCCAAATATATTCCTCTTCTGTTTCTTCTCCCAAAGGTTTCAACAAAGCATATAAAGTTGAGGTAGGATGAAGGTCTTCCCCTTGTATTTAGACTGTGAAAGGCAGCTCAGTATAAGAATAAATTCCCCAAATCCAGCCAATGTGTTAGGGACAGGCCCTGTTCCACTGCTAGGAGTACCGAAAGTAGTTGAAGCTATACAACTGTCACATGTATGTAGGGAGCCCATATAGGCTCTGTAGCTCTCAGTCCAGACTCTGTAAGGTCTTACAAGTCCAGGGTAGTTGTTTCTGTGGGTTCACTCGTGATGACTTTGACTCTGGCTCATACACTCCTTCCTCCCTCTCTTCAACAGGATTCCCTGAGCTCAGTCCAGTGCTTGTCAGTGGTTCTCTGCATCTTTTTCCATAAGACACTGCATGAAGGCTCCCTGATGACAATTGGGGTAGAAACCAACCTGATTACAGGATATGGCCAGTTCAGGCTACCTATTCACTATTGCTAAGAGTCTTAGCTGGGGTCCTCAGTGTAGATTCATAGGAGTTTCCCTTGTAGCTGTTTTCTAAAATGCCCTAAATGCCCCATATCAAGACTTCCTTTTCAGTACTCTCCACCTCCATCTACCACTAACCAGATCCCTCATGTTCCTATCTCCTTCCACCCCCAATCTACCCAGAACATCTCTTCTATTTCCTCCTCCCAGGGAAACCCATACATCCCTTTTTGGGCCCTCCTTGTTGCCTCACCTTTATAGTGCTGTGGATTGTAGTAGCATACTTATCTTTTATTTTATATCTTATATCCACTTATGAGAGAGTATTAGCATGTTTGTCTTTCTGGGTTGAATTACCTCATTCAGGGTGATTTTTTTCTGGCTCCATTTGCTTTCAAATTTTCTGATGCCATTTATTAATAGATGAGTAATACTCCACTGTGTAAATGTACCACAATTTCTTTATCCATTGAGGGGCATCTAGGTTGTTTCCAGTTTCTGTGTATTACAAATAAGGCTGCTATGAACATAGTTGAGTAAGTGTCCTTGTCATATAACTGAGCATCACTCAGGTATGCATGAAAGAGTGGTATTGCTGGGCCATGAGGTAGATTTACTCCTAATTTTCTGAGAAACTGCCATATGGATTTTCAAATTGACTGTACAAGTTTGCACTCCCAACAGCAGTAGAGTTTTCCCCTTGCTCCACATCTGTAAAGGGAAGCTTTTTCCTTGAGAGAAGCCTTCCCGCCAGCCTGGTTCCAGAGCCACATGAGTCCCAAATAAATACACAGGAGGCTATATTAATTACGAAGCTGTTGGCCTTGCTTGTTTCTTACTGGCTAGCTGTGGCTTAAGTATTTACCCCATGATTGTTAATCTAGGCATTTCTCTTACCTGAGAAATTTCCGGGCTTCCTAACCCATGGCAGTTACATCTCGACTTCCTGTGTTTCTCCTACCCAGAGTCCTCCTCGACTCCTAGTCCCACCTATCTTGCTTCCCTATTGGCCAACAGTGCTTTATTGACATATACACAGAACTTCCCCAACATCTCCTCTTTTCTGTTTAAACAAAAAGAAAGGTCTTAACTTTAACATAGTCAAATTATGTGTAACAGAACAGTTATCAAGTAAGAACACAGTTACAATATTTTATCTATCAACATTCAGCAAGATTTAAAGAAAATATCATCCATCCCATTCTTGTGAGTCCAAAGTCCTATATGTAGCTTATCTTTTATCATAACTAAGGAAAACTATAACTATAACTATCTGCCTTCAACTCTATCAAAGACCACAGAAGGATAATATATAAACACTAGGACTGACAGAGACATCTTGCTGCCTGGGCAGTCACATGAAGTTCCTCTGTAATGTTGGGGCATCCATCTTTAGCCCATAGGCCACAGTGTGTCCAGAAGACTTCTTAGTAAAGCAGGAAATTTCAAACTGTCCATCTGCATCAGCAGTCTGTCAGTAAAACATTAACAGACTGGCTGGATGTTCCTTTTGTCTATATCTAAAGCAATTTAGGTAGCTTTTAAACTAATTTTGAAGGGATTTAAGTATCCTTTTAATCATATAAGCAGTTCACACTCATGCATTCACAATCACATTTCATACATACCTGTGTGGCCACACCATACATTCAGAACATACATGTACCTTTCGGTCATCCTTTTTCCCTAGGTCATGATTAGTCTGTTGAAATGAAACTTCCTTAATTAAAATCTCTGTAACAGAACAACTCCAGCCAATCCTTGAACTAAAAAGGTTAAAAAGTCCTATATGCCCCTCATCATTCCTCCATTTGAGCTACAGTCATGGGGTACAGCCATACCTACTCCTTGTAACTCTGTAGATGCAAGGTGGAGTCCAGGCTTTTGGTCAAAAGTTTTTAGAGATGACTCACAAAATTGACCTTAAATGCAAACAATATTTTCCATTCCATATACATTTGCTTTTTCCTTTTTCTCTACTTAATACCAGTACCTCTTTACTGTTACCATTTTTTTTGATTCACCCATTTTTTTTTCGAGACAGGGTTTCTCTGTATTATTTGGAGGCTGTCCTGGAACTCGCTCTGTAGACCAGGCTGGCCTTGAACTCAAGAGATCTGCTTGCCTATGTCTCCCGAGTACTGGGATTAAAGGTGTGCTGGGATTAAAGGCATGTGCCCCCAATGCCTGGCTATTCACCCATTTTCAATCCATCCTCCAACCCAGGATGTTCCCTCAGGCAAAAAGCCTTAATATTTTCACAATCCACCCTCCAACTGAGGGCAATCTCTCGGGTTCCCCTCTTTCCTGACCTTGGTGTCAGGCTAAGGCCTAGAGATTTAATCTAGGAGACATTTCTGACTTTTTAATCTCTCATTGGCAGCAGCCGCTCCCAACGTATTATTGGTGCTATAAAAATTGATGAACAGGGAGCTGGAATGACTAACTGGCATCAACATGGGGAGGATCCTCCCCAGCACCCATACTTCCCTTACCTGATTGTTCGGCAATGGTTGGATCATCTTTATATCCGTAGTATTGGGGTCCACATGCCTGATGCACCGTTCGGGGACCCAAATGGGCTTCTCACTTCCTGGAGGGAAAACACAAACAGCCCCTTGGACCCTAGCTAGTAGGGGAGTGGGTGGCTGCCATTTTCCTGTAATCAAATAGTAGATGCTCTTTCATGTGGGGACTGGGGATATTACTCCCCCTTTATTATTTTCTAAATTTGTTTGAACTGTTGAAGTTGGAACATAACAGTAGAAGGATTTGTCTACTCTCCTTAGTTAACTATCTAGGTGAATTGGGATCACTATCTAGATTATTTCCTGTAGAAAGTCTCGTAGACTCTTACACGAAGCAGGAACCCTGAAGGATTATTTGAGTTCCTGTGGGTCCTGCATATCCAGTTTATACAGCAACATTTAAGCAGTCTAGGCAAGAGCAGTTTCTTGCCCAAATGGCTAATCTTGCCATGTTGAAAGCAAACTCCATAACGAGTTTCTTCGATGCCCATCTTCCTCTCAGACGTAATAGGTGTTGCCAGGAGCAGACATTTCTCATTGTCACAAAAAACCCTAAACCATTTTAAATGACATTTTCTGAAGGTCTTTGAAAGGTTTGAAGACTATCTATCTATCTCAAATATATCTCTGAATATCTAGAAAATCTAATTTACCTAACTATAAGTTCTGACTGTTATAAGTAACTATCTATAGTCTGTATTCAATTATGCATTATGTTTTAAAAGATCAGTATAAGCACAATACTTAATCAAGAGGAGAAATATACACATCACAAAATTGACCTTGAATTTGTCTCAATAAATGAAAAACCATACCAATACAAAGTATTCATTTCCATACCATAATCCCCTTTTTACCATTAAAAAGAGATTGGCTGTGATCATTAGTCAATTATAAACAACCCCATTTAAATGAAAACAAAGATTTATAAACAAGATGGGAATTAGGACATTGCTCGTTCCAAACTGCTTCGTGCTGGAAGGGGGTGCTCTTTATACCATGGGGATCATGATCCCTCCTTTCCTTCTCTCCCCCCTCTGTGTGAGAGAGACCAGAGGTCAACTTCTAGTGTAGTTTCTCAGTTACCATCCACTTTGTTTGAAGAGAAAGGATCTCTCTCTGGGAGCTCACCCATCAGGCTAGTCTGATAGGACAGTAAACCTCAGGGATTTGCCTGTCTCTACCTCCCCAGTGTTGGGATTAGAAGCTCATGCCACCACCCCCAACTTTCTATATGGATATTGGGAATCAAACTCTTCCACAGTTGAGTTCTCTCTGGCACCTTCACCTCCAGCTTCTTGACCAAGTGCTCTTTCTGCCCAGGTTAAAGGAAGCGGGCTCAAGTCCCAAAGTGGCATTTACAGCTGACTTCCCTAGAGCCCTACTCTCTGTCTCAGGCTGTCCAAATGTCCAGAAAGGAGCTCAACCTGGGCTATAGGAGGGTTTCTAGTGGTTAGATAAAAGCCAGAATTCTTCAGGAACTTACAAAACCATTGCCCATCTTCCAAAAGGAGTCATTTCTCTCACCTCTGGCAGAAGGGACATATGGCTACCTGGGGTGCCTAACAGCATATCAAAGCCTATGCTGCCTCCAAGCTCTCTCAGTATCAGAAGTACTTGTTAAAAGGTTCAAAGTCCATGCTTGCATCCTAACCCTTCTCACTTCCTTAGGCTTCCCTCCTTCCAGATACCTGTTCCCTCTCTTTACAATAGCAACTTTCCCCTGCCCCTACCCTTCTCACCACACTCT